TACGACGGCTGTTTGTTCACCACGTGTTCTTTTTCGTCTGCCCACTCGTAAACAAACCCGGGCGTTAGGTCAGGTCTCGCCCACTCCAGCCTCATGCCATTAGCATTCATTTCTGGTTTAATGTGGCACGGCAAAACAACCTCTTCCCCAACTGTGGCCACGACTGCTGGAACGACAATGAGAGGCCGCCCTGAGGAGGAAAAGGAAACAGCGGAGTAAAGTGAGCATTCCTGACAGTGTAAGTCACAGTTACTGTCAAACCTCTTACAGTTTACAAACAAGTTGACATTTATATAAAATTAGACCAAACTGGAAATACTACTTCTACTACTAATAATAATAATCTAACCTATTGTGGGGGTTTTTTCTACTCTTAAACTTGTACTTTCTTACATGACCCAAATATTTCCCACGTGTGGGACTAATAAAGGTTTATCTTATCTTAACTTACCAAGCACTTAACCTTGGTGACGTTGAGCTCAGAGAAGAAAATGAAAAAATGTACAAACTGTACTGTAAACTGCTGTCAAACCACATGACAGTTGTTTACACCCATACCACTTAAGGCATCTGACCCCAGGATATAATAAAAAAAAAAACTACGATATAATATAATATAATATAATATAATATAATATAATATATGACAACAATCATGACCTGTTCAGGCAACCAAAAATGTGGTCTTTGCTTCTGTTTTTTGGTTTAAGGAGGAGAAACACAAAAGGTTGCATAACAAAACATATAGTGCAATTATGCAGTAAAAATGTCTAATAATCCAATGGCGACATCAAATGAGCGTTCAGTAGAAAAGAGTATTCAAAACACAAAAGACTACACAAAGAAATGCTTGATAGGGGTTGTATTGTGAAAGGCTTTGTGGGTTGGCTCTTTGATTCTGGAGGAGGAAGTTACTGATCTCAACCACAAATGTTTTGCACGCAGTTAAGAGGCAGCGTGTGCAATGTGAAGTGCAAAGACACCATGCTGATAAAACTATGAACTCACCTCTGTGTATCAGGAGAAGGCAGAAAATCATGTGCTGTAAAATCATGGCTCTGTAGCCTCTCAATGATAACTTATATCTCCACAGATGCATCTTGGAAATCTTAAAGAAAAAGAAAAGTTGTAAAATTAACGAGATTAAAGACAATCAAAATAAATCATGCTAATTATGCGATTTTGCTCCAAGAGAAAAAGCTTTTTCTGTTTGTTTTGTCCTCTTTTCTTCATCATTGACTGTTTTTTCTCCCTCTTCTGGTCGTGTTTAATTCGTTTTTTATATTTGCTTTTAAAACAATGAACTCCCCTTCCAGATATTTTCATATAAACCGATTGTTAAGTTTCTGCATTGACTTCGGGCTTAGTTTTGTCGCTCTAGTCATGAGCTTCTTTGTTTTGCTTTTGTGTTAAATGACATTAAGTATCAAAGTTAAATCAAAATGTAGACTCACAAGAGAGACGCAACTGTGATTTTATTATGTCATATAATGCGAAAAAAGCTATTCTATTCTATTCTATTCTATTCTATTCTATTGTTTTCATCTCAAAGCCAGAAGACGACAAAGACATAGAAACGATTCTGGACGGTTTTAAAATCCCCCGAACTGCTGTGACGCTCCCCTTCCGTCAGCTGAGAAAACTCTTTAACATTTAAATCGACTGTACTTGGATGGGTAACGAAATGTTTCTCCCACTGAAAACGCTACATCGGGATCAACAGAATCGACCTTTTGGGAATTGCGACTTACTGCTATTGTGTCCTTGTTTACTTGCATTCATCTTTTATAAGGCATTGATGCCTCTTTTGCTGTTGGACCCTATCTGAAAGTTACGGATACCACGTTCACTTTCACTGTATTGTTGTTTGTTTCTTCTTTGTATTATTTGTTACGATATATTTATATAATTGCACATAAACGTTAAAACCTTTGACACTGTAAGCTGTTTTACTTCTATAACAGTTCTGATGAGAATAATCAAAAGTATTTAAGAGGAAGACTTACCTCAAAGAGAACAAAAGTCTACGACTTGCTGCGCAAGAGCTCTGTTGTTTGTTTACACTGTCACGTGCGATCAGCCGCGTGAGCTTCCTGTCTAAAACGAGGAAATCGTGACGACGACAATATGGCTCAGTGTTTTAAGCTAAACGTTGTTTGCAGATGCCATGTATATGTAAATATATAGCAACAGATATATAAAACCTCGTGTCTCAGCGTTACCGTGCACTTTCACTGATATGGCATTTCTGGTGTCACTTTTCTCTATAACGCTCTCTCTCTCTCTCTCTCTCTCACACACACACACACACACACTGTGGTCTTTGATTTCATCATTTTCATATTTTGACAAATTTGTTTGAAGGCTGTAAAATAAATCGATTTAATAATGTTATTTTTAAAATATATTTTATTTGGGTTAAATCAACACGTTTTTGTACATAAACTTGAAACTGGACTCGTACAGTCTCTCTCTATAAGAACAGAAACACCCTACAAAGGCTCGTTATCAGTGCAAAATTGCATTGAGGTTTTGCAAAAACGACGTGCTTTACTTGCTCTGTAATTCAGCCTGAAACTGCCTCAGACCTAATAATAACTAAAGTAATACACAGGGCTTCGACAAAGATAAGCAAACTATATACTATGGCAGACTCCACGAATCAAACTATGGAGCTGGAAAGTTGACACGTCGATGAAGCACCATCAGCCCATTTACTGTGTAAATCGAGTGTAATGTTTCATTTTTAACACCAGATGGCGACCCCTGGAGAGGTCAGGAGCACCACCTTTTTTCTTCTTTTTTTTTTTTGTTGGTGTTGAAGCGTCAGTGTGTCAGCAGGTGAGAAACAGCGTAACTGCTGCACCGCCCACAGCCAAACCAAGATCAAAAGTCTGAGGTTGTGAGTGTCAGTCAGTGTGTCTGATCACACTGATCTGAAAGGCTTCTGGTGTCTGCAGAGAGAATGATAACTTCCGAAACATTAATTTGGTTCTTCAGTAATTGAAGGGGAAAGTCTTTTGTCCTTTAGGGATGTATCGTCGTCTTTTCGTGGTTGCCGGTCTGCTGTCATCCTATATGGGTAAGAAAAAGAGCTGGGTTATGCTGATTTTGTTTAGAGCAACGATTTAATTCACGTTCAGTCAAAGAGAAAAGTAAATCAGAAGTGCCAAAGAACGTTAGGGATTTTACTGAAAGGCAAATTTAAAAGGTCGGTTAACTGCAAAACGCCCTCGTCATGCATCGCTGTTATCAGATAAAGATCACAGGAGCCAACAGGTGTTTTTTTTTCAGGATTTCTTTAAATTAACTTTTCCAAGCGGTGAACAGTGACTCCTGGCCGTCAACAGGATACTTAACAGCACAAGCTCAACATGACCTTTCATTGCACGTGCCGCGGATCCAAGCAATACTGCGATTGTTTGTCTTCCACTAGTGCGAGAAAGTGTTTGTTTAAACTTCACCTGCTGCCGTTACCTCTGTAAATCATGCCAAACCAGTTAGCTGAAAAATAATAACTCGGCGTCCTTAGGTCAAGCTTTAAATCTGCAGTGATCTCAGGACGTGTTAAGAGATTTTCAGAATAAAAGAATAGTTTCATATTACATTCTGTAGTAGTGCTGTATAATTACTACAAACACTGTAGTCATAGTATTTTTAACCAGTGCTGAAATTATGGTTATTTAATGTAATTACTCACAAAGTTTGAAAAAACAAAACCATAATGCATTTAAAAGTAACCCCAAATCAATACGAATATAATACATCTATAAATGGATAAGAGAGGAAGAGAAAATAACAGATATGTCAATTAAATATGCCACAGTCTAGTGCAGAGGGAATTTGGGGGACTTGAAAGAGGAAAAAACACAAACATAATTGTGAACAGCAATGATGTGCAATCATTTAATCATAATTGTTCTTTAATTGTTAAAGATGCACACACTGCATGCCTGAATCAAATGAAATGTACGGTTTGTTAACTGGTGCAGAACTGTGCACCATGTTCAAAGTTTCTGATGTTCAGTCTTAACCATGTCTGCATGTCTTAATGAGGAGTTGCTGCCATGTGATTTGTGTGAATAGATATTTGCACTGACATGCAGTTGAACTGGTGTACCAAATAAAGTGTGTTTCTATGCATCTTGCTTACATAAATGTCACAATTATCTGTGTCCTGACAAAGTGTGGGACGTAGAGTATGTGTGAAACAGTGTGGGATATTTTCAATTATGTACAAAGTATACATCTTACAGGTTTGGGGACTTCCCCACCTTACCTCATGAACATCACTGGCCAATATCTTAATCACGCTGAACCAACCAGTGCAAACCTCAATAGATGGACTCGTGCCAATAGTTGTATCATTAACCAAATACTATGCATTTAAAAATAAATGCCATCAGAAATGCAGTGCATTCAGAAGTTCATGATTAATTGGATGAGAGAATATTTGAGTGACTAAGCCGTCATTGTTGCGTCACAGGAAAGTACTGCTGCAACGTTATGCAGGTGAAAAAGATAATAAGTGCAAGCAGCTGATTGTGGCATTCAAAGTCCTCAGAAACAAACGTCCTTGTCAGTCTTGCAGCTTTGTTTTCTGTCGGGCTCTCTGGGTGGTAATTTTCTTTCATTTCAAATAAGATAAGATGGCCAAACCTGGATAAGAGAAAAAATAAATCAACAATGTCACCAAAACAAACAAAGAAACAACAAAAAAAAACAGTTTACTGTGTCAGAATTTTTTTTCTTTTAAAAAGGGGCTTTCTCTTCTGGATGTCGTACTTTTGTTACAGATGTATGCCCTTATAGCTTTAACGTGGCATTAAAAATATATGGGATAGACTTGATTGTCTCTGTAATGTAACTGTAATCCTGCGGGTCAATACTCAGAGTATTGATCAGGATTTGAAAAAGACGGGTAAACTGCAGAGTTTGCCTTGTAGCTCCGTGCTCTCTTCACCTATAACACATAGAATAACATACAGGAGTCAATCCACCTGGAGGCATTGAATACCTTCTAGTAAAGTTTTACTCACATTGTTTATTACTTCATTAACTTTAGTTTTTATCATTTTAATATGGTTGTTTATCCTTTTTGTGTTTTGTTTTTTTTCTTTTCTTTTTTCTAGGTGGATCCCCTGCTCAGGATCAGCCAGTGCACGTTCTTGCCTTTGCTGGTGGAGATGTTATTCTACCGTGCAGTTTCCATATCTCTGACAAGGAAGACTTTCCGACTGTTGAGTGGTCCAAGGAAGGCTTGAAGCCAGATGTTGTCTTCTTGTACCGGGATGGCTGTGAGGCCTACGAGATGAAGAATCCAGCCTTCGAATACAGGACAAGCCTCATCATGAAAGAGCTCAAAGATGGAAACATCTCATTACGGATCTCCAATGTGCAGGTGCCTGATGCTGGAAAGTACCAGTGCCTCATATTCCAGAAAAATGTCGCCAGGAAGGTTACAACAGTGGAGCTGTTTGTGGGTATGTCCACTCATGTTCATTTCCACACAAAGAGTTCACCATTGAATTGCCTAAGTGTGCTCCACCCACTTAAATGTTGGGTTCTTGTCCAATTCAGCTAAATTCATTTAACATGCGATCAGGATCTGGGTTTTACTTTAGAGTCAGAGCTCGAATGGGCACAATTTTGAATTACAGGAGGATAAACCATGCTCCACAAAGTTTATGCTAGGTTAGATGGTGGTCCTTGATATAAGCTGACCCTACCCCTAACAGCACAGAGCTATTTAAACATAGACAGTATCTGTGAGCTGCTTCTTTTCTGCATCTGTATCTCATTTCATCTTCTATCTATTTGATTTTCCTTTTGAATAAACAATTGAGCTATTAATTATACCTAAAAATCTGAATCCGTTCTTCGGGTCGTATAGCAACTGAATAAAAATCAATGATACGTCCATAAATCCACACACTTGTAAAACTTCTCACATTTCAGCCTTTAGTTGTCAACAGTCTAAAACTACTTCAAAGTTAAATGAGTCTTAATGAGTATCAAGCTTTATTGGTTGATAAAGTTAGCCACTATCTTGCTAGAGAAAACTTTCCTTCTGTTCAAATGTACTGTTTATGGAGGTCAACAGAAGAAAGCATAGGAAACAGGGGAAACTGGCTTCTTTTAGACAGTGGAGCTGAACAGAAGAGTTGCACCAACCACCAATAAAAGACGAGTAGACCATATTTTGACTGTGACATATACAAAGCTGCTCTAGTTGAGTTCAAAGATAAAAACATAGCATAATAGATCCAAAAAAGGAAACTTTAAACAGATTTCCAAATGGCCTGTATTTATATAGCGCTTTACTAGTCCCTAAGGACCCCAAAGCACTTTACATATCCAGTCATCCACCCATTCACACACTGGTGATGGCAGCTACATTGTAGCCACAGCCACCCTGGGGCACACTGACAGAGGCAAGGCTGTTGAACACTGGCGCCACCAGGCCCTCTGACCACCACCAGTAGGCAACGGGTGAAGTGTCTTGCCCAAGGACACAACGACCGAGACTGTCCAAGCCGGGGCTCGAACCGACAACCTTCCGATTATAAGGCAAACTCCCAACTCTTAAGCCACGATCGCCCACAAATGGAAGGAACAGAATAGAGATTATTTAAACACAGAGCCACTACTTTCAGCTATATATCACACTTTAGTGGCAAGTATCCTGAGTATGGGCTGTAAATATAGTAGCAGTTATGAAAAACACTGAGAATCAATTCCACTTTGCTCTTTAAATAATACATTGTGTACATAACATTTAATCCTCATGGGTTAAAAATATGTGACTGTTTTTTGAGTCGTTTCTGAAGCTTAAAGTACAAACAACAGCTTCATCCACAGGAATGTCCTTTGAGTTCAGTGTGTGTACATATTTGACTCTTTTTTTTTTTCTTTTCTTTTTAATAGTTGGGCGTTTCATAACAGGTTGAACTGGTTGATCATTAGCCTCATTGCTCATGTAGCAATCGCCCACCTGTGGGCTGGACCGGAAGAACATATCCGGTGTGTCCTCATTTGGTTTCATGTCTCTCTGTTTAAATGTGATTTGGACCAAACGTGGACATTAAATCAAGCTGCCACTGCCAATAATGAAAAACAGGAAATGATACTATTGCATTTCTTGAAATTCTTGTTTCATTCATGTCTCCATTAAATCCCTGAAGTTGAGTCACAGTCATTAGACCTTAAACAAGCAACCATTGCATCACCAAACCTCTGCCAGGGATAGTAGATAAAATTCTGTTATTGTTACAAATTTGGATATATTTTTGTCCCTAATGAATGAAAAATATTAACACAACCATGGTGGTACCTGCATCATTTTTCGGGGGGTGGGGGGTCTGTAAAGTAAATTGTGTGTGCTAAACCTTCAAATGACACCAGCTTTATTTCATTATTTTACTGGGAATATGGCCAGTTGGCCTTGCTCAGAAGTACATATTATACTATTAATAATATTTGACCAATGTAAGATTTAAACTCCTGTAAAAGTTGCCATGATTAAGGATTGGTTCACATGAGATAATCTTTCTTTCATCAGAGGAACAGACTTTTTATAGGAGGAGACACGCATCTACTTAAACGCTCAATTTCAAGGAGCTTTAGAAAAGTTGATTACTTTATAAAAAGCACAGCTCCATATAAATATCATAGGGTCGTGACCTTACAGTTTAAATCGCTCTGAGGCAACTGCTGTTGTGATTTGATACAGTCTATAAATAGTTTAATTTAATTGTGTAAAAGCAGTTTGTATTGTCTGTGTATCACTTAGTGTCTTTCATTCTTCTTCAGAAGCCAAGAGTGTTATAAAGTGTGGGTTTGACGTCATAGATGTAACTTAAACCTGTTATTGTTTTTATGTTAATCAGAAATAAGGACAGGTGCGTCGGATGGCAGATTTAATGATCACACCTTCTGGTTTTGTTGTTTTTACAGTGGCTGTTTCTGAGCCAAGGCTTTCAGTGATTTCAGCAGAGGGTGATGCCATAACTTTGCATTGTGAAGCAAACTGCTGGCTGCCAGAGCCTCAGGTAACATTTCTGGATGACAATGGAAAAAACATCTATGGGGAAAACCCCAAAGGACAACAAGATGCCCGTGGATATTTCACTGTGACACGAAGAGCCACTCTGCAAAGAGCTACCAGCAGGTTATACATATTTTTTTAGACATTAATAATTGGATAAGCATTTTTAAATTTTATTACAGTACTGTGCAAAAGTCTTGAATCTGTCTCTTTATATTCTGATAGGACAACAGGAAAACACAGCATCAGAACTCATTGTTTCTCTGGCTCTAATCTCATTAGGTAACTGTCAGGAGTAGTTCTCGTGCAGTGTAACCCTATCTGCTGTGGACTGGCCTCCTGAGAGCCAGGGCCCCTATATTCACACTGTGAGATCATCAGGACACAACACAAAATAAACATCCAAAGGAGAATTTCAATGACCTTCAGCAACCCCGATGACTATTCTTGAAGACTACCTAAAGAAATGACAAGAAACATTGCCTAAGAGAGTTCAGACTGTGGGCCCATTTGTGTTTGTACTTTTCAATAAATCACTGCACTTCCCCCCATATAATTCTTTAGGTGGGAAAAAGTGCAGTGATTTATTGCATGTAGACTTGCTCAAGACTTTTGCACAATACTGCAGATTATGTTTAACCAACTAACTGTGAAATTAGATTTTCACTTATATGATGTGAGGTATAAACTGTGTATTTGTCAAACAGTGTCACCTGCAGAGTTCATCAACCAGAGTTTAACCAGACCAGGGAAACAAAGATCCTCATACCAGGTATGCCAGATCTTCACGTGTGCATTCAAACACCAATATTCACATTTTTTTAAATGCATTTGCTATCTATTTGGGGTTTATGTGTAGGTTTTATTGGGATTTCTATAAATTACCGTGTGTGGAGTTTTATCAGATGACCACTATGTTAACCATTTGCTCTCTAGTTGCTTTCCACATGTCACTTCACACCAGGATTGACACCCTAACCCACTGTTGTCTTTATTTTAAGCTGTAAGAAATCCACACCAGACCTGGGTGTGCCCTCATGCTTTGCGCATCTTTTATTATCTCTGTCACGCTTGCTGTACACGCTTGGCTGCCAGCCATACACATCAACGATGATCCCCAAACATAGGACCCTACACAGATTCTAGGCTGATTGCAATGCACAGGTGCGTCTGCCTTCCCTGCAACGGCACCGCAGAACACACCTGTGATTGATCATGTAGTTCTAGCCAAAATATCTATACTTAGAGACCGATCCATCCACCCATCCATTCTCTTCCGCTTATGCATGTCTTTGGATGCTGGGAGAAAGCCAGATTACCTGGGGAGAACCCACGCAAACACAGGGAGAACATGCAAACTCCCCACAGAAAGACCCCGGCCTGATCGTGGAATTGAATTCTTGCTGTGAGGCAACAGTGCTTACCACCGTGCCACTGTGCTGCTTAGAGATCATGATAACAAATTATATCTTTACTCCAATACAACCTATGTACGGCCTCTGCACCACATGCTTGCCAGTTTGCATATCGCCTCTATTCTTGACATTGTCTGGAGTCCTGTTGAGTTTGTTGGCAGTACAGTTTAGCATGTGTCACTGTCTCAATCTAGTAGCCTGATTAAGAAACCTGGCAGGGCACTGGGTGTTTATTTCCTACCAATAAGGACCCATTAGACTTGAAGAAAAACTTGCAGATATATGGTATTTTATATTAAGTATAATATGAATTATCTGTTCATATGTCAACACAATGTTATGTCATTTCAGGTGTCTGCATGAAGTCTGATCCTCACACTATCGCCATCACCATTGGAGGAACAGCACTGTTTTTCTTAGTTGCAGCTGGAGTCGTTGCCCTTTCATGCATAAAATGCTTCAGATTTGGTGAGTCACAGTTCTGAATTATACAAAAAAATGCAAAGCAAGGGCCATTGATATAGACTGCCAGTGAGCAGTTGAGAAACATTTTTAAATGACAGCAAAGTGGTTTTGGTGTTTTATTTTTTTATTGTTGTTGTTGTTGTTGTTGTTGTTGTTTTTGTTTTAAGGATGAAGAAAAATGTAGTTGCTCTTTACATAGAGAACACAAAGACAGAATTACATGTGTGTAAGGTGGAAACTCAGGGGTTTTGAGACTGACTCAATAGTATACACTGATCAGGCATAACATTAACGATAACTGACATGGCACCAGTAAGTGGGTGGGATATATTAGGGAGCCAAGTGAACATTTTGTCCTCAAACTTAATGTCAGAAGCAGGAACAACTGGTATGCATAGGCATTTGAGCAAGTTAATTTGGGCCTAAATTGTGATGGCTAGATGACGAAGTCAGAGCACCAACGAGTTCATGTTGAGCCAAGGCTCACTGATGGATGTGCGGTCCGATCCAACAGACGAGCTACTGGAGCTCAAATTAAAGAATTAATTAAAGTTAATGTTGTTTCTGATAAAAGGTGTATGAATACATACACTGGGAAACACTTGGGAAACACTTGGTACCACAATGTACTTTTGGAAAAAGGCAAGCAGCAGATCCTGTTATACTGTTCTGCTGGAAAATCATTGCTCCTGCTACCCATGTGGGTAATACTTTGATACGTACCACCTACCTAAGAATTGTTTTTGCAGACCATGTACCCCTTTCGTGGAAATGGTTCCCTGAACTTTTTAGCAACATAATACACAACGTAATAAAGCAAAAACGGATCATGAATGGTTTATGAAGCTCAATCCAATCTGTTCGTCTGTGACATGTGTTTGGACAAAGAAGTCCAGTCCATGGAGGACCAACTTCACAACTTCCACGACTTGAAAGACGTTTTTCTAACATCTTGATGTTTTGACAGTGAAAAAGGGACCAAAACAATATTCAATGGGTGATCATATTGTTTTGCCTGATCTGTGTATTTCTTGGAGTTCCTTTGTCTGTACAGTGATCATAGTTTTTGTTTTGTTTTCCTGAAGTCATAAATCAAGTGAAAGGTTGGATAATTTTCCTATAGCCATCTATACAGTTTGAATTCTATTTTCCACAAGATGATTCAGCTTTTTTTATTTTATTTTACACAGCTATTGTAAAGCGGCCAGTGAACAGAAAGACATCAAATCAAAGCCTCCTCCACCCGACAAGAGTTAACAGCACAGACAGCTCGTTAAATGGCAGCATTGGACAGATGAAAAGACAGTCTGGGTTTCTTATCGAAGATGAGACTCAAAAACTACAGGACAGCAATGTTGTTTCCTACAACGGTGGAACAACTGTCCAATGTCATTCCACACCCACAGCAGACGTTTCAAAACCCTCCAAACTACTGTTAACTCACGACCCTGACAACAAGAGCTTGACCAGTGTGTACAATCCAAACCCATCTTCAGCTTCAACCAGCTATAAAACTCCAAAATCTGATGACTTACCCAAAAGCAGGGGTTCAAAGCTTATCATCAAAAGGCAAAACAGCTTTCCAGACCCTGGTCACATATCTCAAAGAAACCACCGTATATACAGCAGTCCAGCTATTTTACAACTACACTTACCAACATCCAACCCTTCTTCTGCTCTCAGTAGCCACCAGATGATCAACTCCAGTGTCTCACCCCATCAAAGCACCCACCATCCTCAGCGTAGACACTCGCCAGGACTTCCACAGTTAGCTGAATTTCATAACCGTCACAGCCTCCTGAGAAATTTACCTGAAGAAGATGAACATAAAAGTTTATTAAGAAATGAAAAGTAAAGGAAATGTAAGCTGTACATTTCAAGCATAAGGCAAGACAATGTTTGCTCGGTTTAAATGACTGAAACTCCTTAACTGAGCAATAACTAGAAACTGAAATTTCACACCAGTCATGGAAGCACGGAGTAGGGGCTTGACAGTCAGCTGCAGTGTCTCCTGTTCTTTGAATGTTTTTAATATTAAGCATGATTTCGTTCTTTTTCTTTGCATTACCAGTCAAAAAATGGGACCAGACCATGATGTATGGTGCTTGCGATACTTTTGCTTATATATAAAAGGCTGTTTCTTTTTACTTTCATATTAAGAGTTGGGGCTAGTTTGTATGTTTTTGTTTGTTTGGAGAAAAAAACCAGTTCTTTGTTAACATTGTTAACACTCTGTGGGGCGATCATGGCTCAAGAGTTGGGAGTTCGCCTTGTAATTGGAAGGTTGCCGGTTCAAGCCCCGGCTTGGACAGTCTCGGCCGTTGTGTCCTTGGGCAAGACACTTCACCCGTTGTCTACTGGCTGTGGTCAGAGGGCCCGGTGGCGCCAGTGTCCGGCAGACTAGCCTCTGTCAGTGCGCCCCAGGGTGGCTGTGGCTACAATGTAGCTGCCATCACCAGTGTGTGAATGGGTGGATGACTGGATGTGTGAAGCGTTTTGGGGTCCTTAGGGACTAGTAAACCTATACAAATGCAGGCCATTTCACCATCACTTTGTTAACATATAGGAGTGCTTTTCCAATAGATGAAATAATTTTAGCAAATTTTTTTCTTGCACTTTAAAGCCTTTTTTTACTTGCTATTGTATTTTTTTGTATAGTGTTATGTATCAATGGGCTTGAGAAAAAATATATTTCCAATTATGTTTTTGCATAAACTGTGCAAATGGAAATTGATATGTTTGTATTTTTATAGATGAAACATTGGACATTGAGCTCTGTTTCACTGGCTCATGTAACAAAAATGTTTTGTTATCCAAAAAAAAAAAAGACTCCCAAATCATTCTTGTTTGCTAATGTTTTGCACAAGGTCATTTGTGCCTTTGTTTGCTGCCCTGATTATCCCAGTGTACTTTCTGCTGGCATGAATCAGAGCTAATTTCCCTGACTTTACTTTTTACTCAGGAAATGCTTTTATCGCTGCCCCGATTTTAAGTGTCAGATGACTCCACCAGGAACACTTAACCCAGGTGTTAAGTGTTTATTTATTTCATTGTATCTTTTCATATCTATATTGATGTAAGTCTTTAGTATTACTTTTATGTCTTCAACTGTGTCTATTATTATTATTATTATTATTATTATTATTATTATTAAAAAGTTGTAGTTTGTAAAGTTTGTAGGGCAAAAACATGTCTCGGTTTGTAAAGTTTGTTGAATTTGCACACACTGACGACAAAGATTAATACATTGAAAAGTACAAACACAAATGGGTACAAAGTCCGAACGCTCTTAGGCAATGTTTCTTGTAATTTCTTTAGGTAGTCTTCAAGAATATGCCTCAGGCTTCCTGAAGTGCATTCACAGTCAAAAATAAGCACTTGCACCCGTTCATACATTTTCCCAATGCATTGTCATGTGACTTGTGTTATCCGTGTGTATATTCAGGTTGGAACGTCCTTGTGTGCTGGGAGAAAATGTTCTCCCACACTCATAAACGGAAAGAAAGAAAGAAAAAAGTCAAGGCATCAAGTGGCAAGTTTAGTCCATTGTGCTACAGTGAAACTGGTAGCACAAAATGCTTTTATCACTGTATGCCCCAGAGGGGTCGATGGCACGATATGGCAGCCTCGCTTCTGTCAGTCTGCCCCAGGGCAGCTGTGGCTACAACTGTAGCTGCCTCCACCAGTGTGTGAATGTGAGA